TTTTACTTTGTACTGGTGGTGTTTTGCAAGTGTTTTCTCTTAAAACTCTTAAGGTAGCTAACTGTTGAATCATCAGATGGACATGATACATTGACTCCAACTGTTGAATCATCAGATGGACTCTATAGGTTGGAGGATACATTGAACAGTACTGTAGCTCCTCAGTAGCACTGGGAGAAGCTAGAGAGCTGGTCAAGGAGTTGACAGAGATGCTCTATCACATCTGACATTTTAATTAGCATGGTATATGGTGGTTTCTGTATTTGATACATGTAAAACTTTGTAGTCACAGTACTGATACAGCACACATTAACACCTCAAAAGTAGCTAGCTGGCATTATGTCTTGAAATGTTTTATAACATTTTAACAATATGGAACTTTAATGTGATACCTAAATTAGCCTACATTATTTAACACTTTAAAAACCTTCAAAAGTTATGATATAGTACTTTTCTGATGCCTTTTCCTACCAATAGTATTCTGTTCAGTAACACATGGTATTCTGAACCAAAACTTTTAAAAAGTTTTGTTCATGCTAGTGAAAGTGAAAACATGCAGGAGAAAACTCTAATCTCTCCTGACTCTTTGAAGTCCCTTCTTTCGTTATATTTCTTGTTAACTGTTTTTCAGCCTGTCTACAAGCGGGACCCTAAACCTAAAACATGGCTGTTCACACTGTTTTCTGTTAGCCTTCCTTGTTAGCATTTGAGTCAGTGGCTTGCTGTGTCTAGCCCAGGCTAGCCCCTGCCTCTGGCTTCACAGCCCTGAAGCTTTCTCCAGCTTTTCTCAGAAGATACAAATTCCAGATGTCTGACCTCTACCATCAGGATTCCTGCCTGTGCTCTGTGACAGGAAGTTCATAGTGCCTCTTAAAATGGTTAAAGGCCCATTTGATATTTCAAAGCCCGTTCTAAATACCGAATACAGGGCAGGGAGTTGAATGTTTAGTTTTCTGGAGAGTGGCTTGAGGACTTAGAAGTGAACACAGTGGCTCTCCACTCGAAGCGTTGTGAGCCAGATAAAGTTTTAAAACACATGCGCATGGCATGAGCTATCGAAAGTCTAGTGACATAGAGATGTTTATTTCCACACTGAGGTCAAAAATGACATTAAATGTCTAGTGGGTCATCAGATTGGTGGCAGTTTTGACTTTGGGGACAGATTCCTTCTCGTTTTTAGTTGATGCTACCTCAGTCCTGATAACTTCTTAAAAGGGTTTATTTTCTCTTGTTTAGTTTTCCCTTTTAACGTCCTGAGTCAAGAAATCATAACAATCTAAGCACGTAGATAGTACAGATGTGCAAGCGCTGTGGAACATTAGCTTCAGTTTACTATGGCACATGTGAGGGAAATTCTTTATACTCAAGCAACATCACAGAATGCGTCACTGACCCAGATTTCAGCTGCTTCTGTTTGTTTCCTACGCAGGAGTTGTATGTGTGTGGCCAATTGATTATGCCCAATCAGAAGATAGCATTTAGAACATGTGCTATTGTGTTTTTAAGCCTGGAGTCCGATGTAGACATCACACAGTAAATGTCACATGTTCTACAGAAGAAGCTCAGCCTGTGTGTTGACTGGGAACAGGCCATCCTGGCAAAGACACCTTTAAGAAGCTATGTACCTTATTAATTGAAGCATTAGGGCAGTACACCCGGGGATTTTTGTTTTGTTTTGTCTTTTTGTTCTTTCTTAGGAGGAGATTCTATGTCCAGACCTTCACTTAACTTTCTACATTTTCCTCAATGCCCTTTGAGTTGTAAAACCTTCACCAATAGTATTTGGGAGTTGAATTGGTAGCTATCATGCACAGCAGGCAGTTGGAGGGAACTGTGTGGTTACATAACAGGGCAAATGGCTGTTGTGAATATGGCCTTCAGTAGCTGGCCTTTGATCCTGCTTTCATTCTTGCTGTATAGATAGTACTGATACTTCTTCAGAGTTAAGATCAAAAGTAAACTTTGTTACTTCATGCTCTTACAAAGGACAATCCTTTTTTTTTCTTTTTGTGGTGTTTGTATATATAGATTTAGGCTGTTGGTGACAGTTTTCATGAGAAATTAGGCCATTTTATCTGAAAGGTATTATGCATGCCTTCATCCTAGGACAGAGCTGAAATTGTGTGCTTTGTTCTGATTGCCAGAGTTCCCTATACTGTGAAGAAGGGCGATCTGGAAAATAAGATAGTAGGGTTTAAACGTGAGTGAATCCTATACCCTGTCTATCATCAGTCTCTTCCCCTCAGTTCAAACAGGAGACCAACCTTTCAAAACAGTGCACTATTCATGAGTGTAAACATAGACATCAGGCCTTTACTACTACTGTCATCACCTGTAGTACAGAATGGTTTAAAAATAGTCAGTTACCTGCAAGAGTTGCTTAAGCAGCAAACCATCTGCTGCTACCCATGCATGCTGATCCCTCTTCCTGAGCAGGACTTCTGTGCAGCCACGTTTTGCAGTTTTGGTGGCTCTTTTCCTACCAAGGCAGGGATACTGAGGTCTCTAGAGCTAGGCTTTTAACAGGTTGGGAATGCCTGGGGACAAGCAGTCTGTCCTGCTGTTGATAAAGAGTGCTCTTGTTCTTTAAGGAACAGCAATCAAGGGAGCAAGTCAAGCTTGGTTCCATTTGAACCTAGGGACTTTGAGCCAACAGGCCCAGAAGGAAAATTAAGTCAGTCATAATCATTTTTGTTGTTCTACAAAGCAGCTTTTGTAAGCATGAAATTAACCTTTGTTGTCCCGTCTACTTGTTCAGTAGTATACTACAGATAATTGGTACTCAATAATGAATACATCAGTGGAAGACAGAGAAGTTTGTCATCCCAACTGGAACTTTGGAACCTCCAGAGTGCTAAGGTTGGCACTAACACAATCAACCCACCTGGTTCTTTTTATTTAATAGTTGTGAACATATCACCATAGTGCTAGATATGATTACACCCTTCTATACTCAGGCTGCCAACTGTTTTGTTATATTTTTCTTGTCTTAAGAAGAGACCAGCACTCCAACTGAAGAGTCTCCCCAAGGCAAAACTTTACTCTTGATTGAGAGAGTACACTCCAAAAAGCAAATGTCCTGAGATGTGCACTTGGTTTTTATTCTGACAGGTGTGGGGACTCTGTCTTTTCCTAATGGCTGGGGTCTGACCCCCTTGGTACTTTGAAATCAGCTGGTTTTAAAAGAATTGGTGCAAGGAAATGAAGGGAAGGGGTCTGTCGCGCTAATCCAAGTGCAGGCCTGTGTGCAAACAAAGGTTTTACTTTGGGGAGAATCAATCATCACATGAAAGTCTTACTGGGTTGGGAGATAAAAAGAATTTATTTCCTTGTCATAACGATAAGTTTTGTAGTGTTTCATAGAAAAGGCTCTTTACCTTTCCTTTCATCTGTAGGGTAATAAATACGATTGCCTACTAATGTCAAGGAGAAGAGGTGGGTCAGAGAAGAAACATCTTCCCATATTGTCTTAAATTGAGACTGTTCCATGTTTAATGATGTCTACGTAATATAAGGTGAACATTCTTGGCTCATGCCTGACATCATCAACCTTTAAACTAGTGTGAGAGTTGTGACATCCCTGGAATCCTTGCCAGAGAGCCTACCCTAAGGGTCCCTCAGCAACCCATTGGCAAAGGCTAGATAAAGAGACACATAAATGGTAATAAAGGCAAGAAAAGAGTTCTCTCTCAGTAAACCACACTGGGAAAAATGCAGCAGGCTAGGGAAAGCCTCTCTCTCTCTCTCTCTCTCTCTCTCTCTCTCTCTCTCTCTCTCTCTCTCTCCTGCGTTCTTGCTTCAGCTTCCCTCTCTGCCCACCCCACTGAAGCATGGGAGCAGCACCTTAAGCATTGTGTGCCGGGAAGGGGAGTTTTTATGTCTACTTTATGCTTGAAATTTTCGTGCATACTATATTATATACAACGTATTTTGATCACATTTACCTCCCATTCCTCCCTCAACTTCCTATTCCTCCCAGATCCACTTTCCAAGTCTCCTCTTTCCCTCCTAACTTTGTGTCCTCTTTCTCCCCTCCCTCTGTCTTCTCCACCCCCATCTTTTTCCCATTCCCTCACTCTCCCCCATCGCCTACCAAGTTCTGGTTGTGCTGCTCATATATTTTTGCATGTGGGACCATTCACTGAAGCATGGGTGACATACTAGGGGCCACACCCTTAAGGAACCATCAGTCCCCCTCTCCCCAGATAAGGGTTGGGGGCTTGTTGGACCCCCTATTCCCCTAGAAAGAGGAATCTTGATCATACATAGACTGAATAGATTGTGTGTGGGGGGGTTCTATCAGTCATTCAAAGCCGATTTCAAAATATGTACCACTTAACAGAATAATTAGAGAGGCCTAATAACTGCTTATAACAAAATGGTTATTTAGTGCCTGCCATTAGAAGGGGGAAGAGGCTTTTGTTGGACAGTGTCAGCAGAAACATCCACTTAGAATGATTACAGAAAACACGTTTCAATAAAAACCATTGAGGCTAAGTAATTGCTTTTACTTCTGCCAATTAATGTAAAAAATAAAAACCTGCCCGCTAGTGGAAAAAGCCTTGCAGTTTTCAGCAGTAGGTGCTGTTTTTAAATAAAAGACAATAACGTTTGGTATATGTAGGTGGGAAAATCTGCTTGTGTTAAAACAACATAATGCTAACTTGAATAGCAGCAGACTTTGAGCAGGTGAATAGAGCCAACATTTTATGCTCACAGTTTAAGTCACGATGCCAGGTTTTTATTTGAGTGACTCTGCCTCCACTCAAAAGCGACCAAAGTCTTTATTTCTCGCTAGCCAATCTAAACACGTTTACAGGAGGCCTTCATAGAAACTGGATTGTTTAACTCAAGGCAAGTCCTTACTACATAAAGAGTTCTCTCATGATACTTCAGTAGTGGGTGCTTAGCAGATGCGTCTCGTTTACAATTATCACTGTGGAAAGTCTGTGCTGTAGCGTGCAATAGTGTAAATGTTCACAACTCTTCTTTTCCCTTAGAGCACAAAGTAATCATTGTGGGACTGGATAATGCGGGGAAAACCACCATTCTCTATCAATTGTAAGTATCAGTGCCTGCTTATTAACTCTTGAAAAACTTAGTTTTTATGTTATAAGATGCCACGCTTTCCAATTTTAATAATACAGTGGTTAGACTTAAACATGTAACTTTTTTCTATTTTTGCCAAATAAAAAAGTAAAATACGATGTCGTTTGCTCTCTAAAGTTTCCCCCGTGTCCTAGCCTTCTGAATTTGAAAGGAAGAATGGACTTTAATATTAAACTAAAACAAAGTGCGCCTCCTGGGTGAGGTGATGAAATGACTCACTTACCTCTGCCCACAAGAGCCCTGTGGGAGCAGAGTGCTGCCTCTGGAAGCGGCTCTCCCCTAACAGCCTTCGGATTGTTTAACAGAGCCAGATTTGTCTAAAGTGGTGGTGGTCAAAATGCTACTTTAGTAGCTTTCAAAACTGGGAAGCTTGAAATCCTCAGAGATACATTAAGGCTCATCTTCAGTAAATGTTAACACCCCAAGAATCTACTGTGGAAGGATTTCCCATTATCCTCTCAGAGCCGAAGAAATGTTAAGCTGTAGGAATGGGTTTATACACTCAGAGCATTTAACAAATACTCACACAGTACTTGGCACCATCATATGAAACTTACCCTTCCCTTCCTGCATTTAAAGCCCACCAGTTTAGGGCCTGGGTTATAGCTCAGCAGAGCAACTCCCCATTCTGCAGGAGTCTCTGGCTCAATTCCTAGCACTACAAAAGAACAGTGAAAAAAAGCAGTAATGTCAGCTTTCAGCTTGCTAGGTATGCACGCTTTCCCGTGGGGCCTACCTAAATCATTTTTAGTTACATTGCAAACAGGCTTCTCCTTATGTGTTACTGTTTCAGAGTTGAATCATTACTTTTCTTTATTATATTTTCATTCATTAGCTAAAATACATTTTAATATCATTTAGTCTTTAATATAAAGCTTAAATATCTCTGATAACAGTCTTGTATGTACATAATGTCAAACACAAAATATAAAACTCAAGAGAAGATTATAAGTGCCTTCAAATACATGTTATCAGCAAACATGTGTGTTGAATAAAGTAATGTAACTTAAGCAATCAACAAGATAATACAAGTGATATGAGAATCAGTATTCTAAACACAATTCATTTTAAGTCAAATTTCTATTTGCCTTTGGCCTTTAAGACTATAGGTTAGTATGCCTAAGTTAGTTTTTACGGCTCAACGCTCATCTGGCTTCCATGGACCTTCATCAAAATGGTGGTAGAATACTGCTTAGTTATTGTTACTCTGCAAGTATTGTGGTCACAGTTGTCCAGAAATTGGTCTTTCAGGGTGGAGCTTTGGTTTTCATCCGATTGATACAGTAACTGGTCATATTGGCATTTTGCCCCTGGGCGTGCAAACCCACATCACACAGTGTTCCCGTCTCTGTGTGTCAGGCCTGCAGTTTATCCCATTAAAAAGCAGAAAACAGCCTTCGAGAATTGCACTGTTTACATCTTTTAGTGTACAGGACATCTCTAAGCTTTTCTTTCTCGTGTTAATGGTTATTATGATTGGTACAGATGAAGAAGGTTGACTTCTCTTAAAAACATAGAGATAAAATGTGTTTGGGGTTCTTAAGATTTACAAAAGAGTTTTCAATGGTGTCTTTCAACAGCTTAATGAATGAAGTAGTTCATACTTCTCCAACCATAGGAAGCAATGTTGAAGAAATAGTTGTGAAGAACACTCATTTTCTTATGTGGGATATTGGTGGTCAAGAGTCCCTGCGGTCATCCTGGAACACCTATTACTCAAACACAGAGGTATGCCAAAAGTACCTTTGAGTTTTATTTTAAAAATTTTTTTCAAAGAATCGGCATAGGAGATGGCTAGGCTGTAATGAGAGATATTAGCAATTGCCTTTCATAAAGAATTCAGATTTTATCATGGAAGAAAAGGAAGGGAGGAGTGGTAAATTCTGGTCCTGACTGGTCTGACTCGCTGCTGAAAGGTGCACAGATGGAGTAAGATCCTAGACGGAACATGGACTTTTCCCCTCCTTGGGTGTATGAAGAGGTGGAATAGTCAGTGAAAACGTTGACATGTAAACCTATTTTACAAAAGTCAAATAGATTATATACATGCAAAATGTGCCTGGCTGGCATAGAGCTCGCTGTACATAGCTCATGCTGACCTGGGGCTAACTTACACCAATCCTTGTGATTCTCTGCCTCCTACCCTCAGGGCTGAGATTGAAGGTGTGCGGCGTTGTGCCTAGCCAGGACCCTTTTCAGCCGAGTGCTTACTCAGGCTGCCTCAGGCCATCCTCACTGTAGCACTCGTGCTCTGTGGGCTGGAGAAATCTGACACTGGCTGAAATGAATGAATTTTCTACTATCTCTGCACTTCACAGTAGCACCTGGTTAGGGAAGGGGTAAAATATTTTTTAAAATTTTCAAATAACATCCCAGATTTTCAGATATAATTAAGGGGGAAAAAGACTTGCAGGCTATTATCCCCAGCTGTCACTATCATTTTAAATGTTTTTATTTTTTTCATCTGGGATTGAAAAAGGTAAAGAACATAAATTTTCTGTTACATATTTATTGACTATTTTGAAACATGGGAAGAAATTGCTTGTGTTACAAGTAAAATAAATAGAGGTGTTAGGCAAAAGAAGCAACTCTGACTTAACTTCTGTAAATTTACACTGCACCAAAGAATGGGTTGCCAGTGCTCTAACTGTTGACATGATTATAGAAGACACAGGCCAGTGAGTGAGCGGTCAAGGAGCATGGTGAGAGCATCTTTTGTAGAGATGCATTTGCTGGTCTGTGATGGGCCTTGAGACGGCAGTGCATGGGGCACATCTGCAGAGATCACATCTGCAGAGCTTCACAGAGGAGCAGTTTCTAAGCAGGGAATTTTCCAGGGTATCATGTTCTTTTTATTGTTACTTATTAGTTCAGTAGTATCTTAGGGAATCTATCTATATTACCTTCATTTGTATTTGTATGTCTGCCTAGAGACAGATTTTTGTAACGCTCATGTGGTGTTTTTGAGTTTTATCATTTAGAATAGTGGTGTGCAGTTGCCTGTGTAAGCTTTCTTTGTAAGGAGGTACAGCTAAGAACTCTTGTTTTCTAAAATGACATTTTATAAAAATTGGAGCTGGAAGAGAGGATAATGCATAGAATTTTTTCTTTTAAAACAAAATTAAAAAACAAGCAAACATATACATTATGGACCTGTATTTACTTATATAGTTTTGTGTGTATACTGTTTCAGTGCACTGTGTGACCCAGAATAACAGGTTGTCAGCATGTAACACTTGTAATGGCCCTGAATTTATATTCTCTGTGGGGGTTGGGAGGGACAGTTGGTAAGAAAATATTGTTATGATCTAGCTGAGTATACATTTGTACAATAAAATACTACTGTCTGATAACAGATTTACCTTTTCAAAGTCCATTGTCAAAGCTTACAATTAACTCCAGCTGTGAAGAAAAGCAGTTCGTACACACAAATAGGTTAAGATGGTTCTAGCTGATCCAAGTGCATGTCAAGCACTTGAACGGGGTAATTTTCGAAATTGCTGACAATCTAGGCATAGCCTGGGTCCAAACAGATATCTTATTACTGATGCTATTAGCATTAAATATTCTTCTAGTAAACCATTTCTAGTATATCTCAGTTACCACAAAGATGTTATTGCAACATGCCGCCATGGTCATTTACATTTGCAGACTTGGATTCCAGAAAAAGATTTCATGTGGTGATGTTTCACTAATCACTTCGTTCACCCTTGCAATCTTGTATTGAGAAAACTCTTAATTTGAGCTGGCCTCCCAAAGGGAGCACCTCCACTGTATTACAAGAAGTTCTGGGTGTTAACTCCTGATCCCTTCCTTTCATTAACCCAGTTACTTCCCAATATTCTGCCCATTCTTTGCCAGGCTCCCTCCATTCATCCCTTTCTAAGCCTTTTGAGTTTGTAGTGAGATTACTGTAGTTCATACTTCATAATTTTATACTATCCTGTAAATTGATTCCAGCCTCTCTGTTGTATATTAATAAGCCTCCCTTTGGCTTAATGTCCTGTTCTGCATGATGCACGGCAGTTTACACTTGAGTTTTAGTCCGTCCTTCTACGCACTGTTTACTTCAGTAGCTCCTTTTCACTTTGTTCTTGTTTGTGCTTAACAACGTTATTTTTATTTCAACGTTATAGTTTTTCATTTGCTGGTATAGTTACTGTTTAATACCTACTTAAAAGATATACACAGACAGACACACTTCTCCTATCCCACTCCAACATACAGGCGCACACACAGATTCTTTAGTTTTTCTTACCTTTTTTCAAATTTTGCCTACATCTTAGCATACTGCCAGTTCATGTAACTTAGCAAAGTCCAGCACATTTTCTTCTTGAACTTGTTTTGCTGAAATTCCTTCTGTGAAAAAAAATGCTGTATTTGTTATTTTTGAAAAGCATGCTTATCTATTTCTGTCATGCTAACTCTTCCTTTAATAGGCAGAAGACCATATACATAAACAAGTAACAAATTATTGTCTAAATTTCAGTGGTTCTTAACCTTCTTAATGCTGCAACCCTTTAATACAGTTTCTTATGTCGTGGTGACCCCCAACCATAAAATGATTTTCGCTGCTACTTCATAATTGCAGTTTTGTTACTGTTATGAACTGTAATGTCAATATGTGATATCCATGATAATTGTGACACAGCGGTTTGAACTGGCTTAAATGGGTGGTAGAATGGAGATGATGAAATTTAATGAGAGAATATAAATTCCTGTTTTGCTGTAAACATTACCTTTTATTACCTACAATTGGGAGCTTAATAGATTGGTTATGCTTTTTAGTTGCTGAAGTTGCAAGTTGCTTTCTTGTTAACATCTGGATCTCCTGCTTGCTGTGTTTCTGTGTTAAAGTGCTCTCTGATGGAAAAGCAGTGGTGTTCTGTAGCAGGGGCAGTGCGAAGTGAGAGCTAACGTCGCTGTAGTGATTTTGCAGAAAACCGAGCATGCCACTAATTTCTTCCTTTATTTTAATATTGCTTTCTAGTTCATCATTCTTGTTGTCGATAGCATTGACAGGGAACGCCTGGCTATTACAAAAGAAGAATTATACAGAATGCTGGCTCATGAGGTACAGTTTGAAAGTCAATCTTTAAAACATGATGTAGTAAGTTATCTGTCGATTGGTTTTGTTCTATACAAAGATGAATGTGAAATAATCTTGATAATTTCATTATAAGCAAAGCTACTGTTCTATGCAAAGATTAATGTGAAATAATGGTAGTTTCATTGGCAAAACTATATGTTAGTCTGAGTCAAAATGACATTGTATTTTCAAGCCTGTTAGTTTGCTTGCTACAACTATTAAAAGCTAAGTTTTACGTTTTCAGAATTAAAACTACTGATTCATGCCTTTAAAGAAATTGATATTGAGATTAGAGGCATATGGTGGGAGACCAACAGAACTTAAATGTCTTCCAGCCAAGACTTTACTATACTGAATAATGGGAGGTGACGAAATTATAAGTATTTGAAATATAAAAGAATGGACAATAAAACGTATTCCTGCACATGCTATTTAACATAAAGTTTCCTTCTCAGAAGTAATCTAGAATCTTAAATATAGTTATTGTTATGCTTGTGTATAGATATGTAAAATTCACATTCTTAAAACTAACGTTACGTCATTCATCTTTCTGTAATGTCAGTTTTTCACATCTGAGTTTTAAAATCAATTTCGTAAGTTGCCATAGAAAGTAGTAGTCAGTTCTTAATGGTGTTTTCATACAGTATGTTATTTTAGCTGGCTCTCAGCCCCTCCCCCACTGCCTGCCATCTTCCGCCCCCCCCCCCCCCACTGGCCACCTTACTCCCCTGTAAACAGTCCTCCTTCTGCCTCCCTGCCACTGAGTCCCATCACCTGACTGTCCTCTCACTTCCTTCCTTCTCCCATAAGATCTTTTTTTTAACTTGGTCTTTTCTACTTTGACGACCACTACCCTCTTGTGTGTGTACATGTACATACACACACACACACAAACACACACACATATCAATTTAAAAGTAAATTTCATGTATGAGACAAAATATATTTGTCTTTCTTAGTCTGGCTAATATGATTTTCATTTCTATCCACTTCCCTTAAAAAGCCCTGTTTCGTTTTGCTTCACAGATGAACATTTTCAGTGTATGTGCCCCACATTCTCTGGATTCAGTTGCCAGTGCACTTCCACATTGGGCTGTCAGTGATTGCTGCAGCAGTACTAATACATGTGCACATATCTGTCTGACCTCTTGGCTTAAGAGTCTTGAAGTGTGTGCCCAGTAGTGGCATGGCTGGGTCACATGGTATTAGATGCGTACTTTGTTACAGGAACTCCAAACTGGCTACCATAGTGGCTGCATAGGAATTCAGCCCCACCAGCACCAGAAACATGAAATTTAGCCATGTTAATATGCACCTAGCTAAAAAAATAGGCAAATAGCTAAAGTTCAGAAGTGAGTTCAGAAGTGGTACTATGTATTTCATTGTATATCAGTTGGTCTGCTCTGTCAGGTTATGTCATAATGTTTTAGATGTTAAAAAATAAAGCAAACAAACAGACAAAAAAAAAAAAAAAAGCCGCAGTGAACACAGTTCAGTGAGTTAAGGCCTGTAAAGGCTAGTAAGTTTACCGTGTTCCGGCTGTAGGGAGGAATTCACATGCGGGGTTACCGCTTTGATCTCAGCTTTATATTCTCTTCATTCTGACCTTTTTTGTCCAAAAATTGAAAAAAAAAAAACCTTAATCATCTGACTTACACATACACCTTATTAGAATGAATCATTTAATTGTAATTAGGATAAATGTTAGTACAAGATTATTTGAAATAGTGATGTCTTACTATAATGCCTAGCAGGGTATAATTTACACTCTGACTTCATAGTTGAATTTGACTTGTAATAGTTCCCACGTTACTTTGATTCATGGTTGTTCCCATGTTTGATATTTCAATATTTTGTGTCAATCACAGGATTTAAGGAAAGCTGCAGTCCTTATCTTTGCAAACAAACAGGACATGAAAGGGTGTATGACGGCAGCTGAAATCTCCAAATACCTCACCCTTAGTTCAATTAAGGATCACCCGTGGCACATCCAGTCGTGCTGTGCACTCACAGGAGAAGGGTAGGTGCTGACAGGGCTTCTCACACGGCCCTTTCACGGGTCTAGGCTGCCGGCGTCCTTCTTGGTCCCTGTTTCATGTTTGTCCTAAATATGGTGGTTATATTGTTTCTCAGGCTTAACATTTTGAAATAATTCTAGTTAACAGTTTATCATCAAGTTCTTCGTATTTTTAACATGTATGTAATATTTTTGAAGGCATAAGCAGCTGTGGAATTAAATGTTTAGATTTGAGGGTTTTGTTCATCTGTTGCTTTCATCATTTACTTTCTACGCAATAACTGTAATGTCACCCAAATTATTGAGAAAACTTTAAAGAAGTTGCATGCTTTCTGAAAAGACTTAACGAGTCTTCTCCAAGAATCTGTCTCTTGTATTATCAAGAGTCCTTCTGGAGGCACGCTTCTGGAGGAACGTTTGACCAGTGCCATTGTACTGTAGTCTTGCTTTTCTGTGAACTTGAATGTACGTACTATGGCAAGGGGAAGCAGATGTGTCATGTGCAGCTCATGACAGGATCCTCATGTCAGCCTGACAATTGGTTTTTCTCTTTCTTAAAATATGTGGCAATGTAATAGCTAGGTGTGGAGCCTGTAATCTTCCATTCTTTAGAAACTGTGAATAAAGAGAAGTTTCTGCTATTTCAATAGTGGGTGTAGCTCCATTAGAAAGGATGCGGTGGGTGTGGTCTTTACAATCCTAGTGAGAAAAGTGGACAATCCGAATCTTCAAGATGAGGCCCAAGCAATTTCCCATTTTGTTTAAGTGACACTTTCATTAAAATGTCACTTAGGACGTTATCTGAAAGCTGTCCCTGATGGAGGCTCAGGATTGGCTCCACTCCTTAGGCTGCTTGCCAAGCATGACAGAGCCCTGGGTTCCATTCCTGCTGCTCCACATACTGAGGGTGGCGTCATGTACCTGCAATCTCAGCACTTGAAGATGAGGTCAGGGCTGCAGAAGCTTACCTTCATGCGGTCTGCATAGAGAGTTTGAGGCTAGCTTACACTGCCTGAGACCCTGTCCCTTGTGGGAATAAAAAGAGGTTATCAACCAGCATATGTAAATAGCATTTGAGTGTAACACTAACCTTTGAATAAGACTTAATAAGTAAGGCTTCGCTTTCTCAGCAGAAAGTTTCTAATTTCTGAAATACTTTTGTCTTTTGTTTAGGTTATGCCAAGGTCTAGAGTGGATGACCTCCAGGATTGGTGTGAGATAATTTTTTTGCTTGAAAAAGACTTCTCTATTTATTTGGTGACATGAACATTTTTCCTAATACCTTTGGCTGCTGAGGCAGCAGCATGTTTAATTTATGACAACACAAACCTCCGAGTGACGCTTGAATCAAGTGCCGCTGTACTGGAACATAAAGATGTTTTCTTACCTTTGTTTCAAATGTACTAATCTCAGTCAGACGAGTATTACGTGTAACTATGCTGTAGCAGCCGGACTCTTCTGACTGTGTATTCTAATTATTCAGTGACTGCCTTGTAAAAACCATTTGTCATATATTTCCTGTTATCTGAAGTTTTGTTATGTCCTTTATAACTAGTTTCTTTCACCTCTTGGCCACCACTCCTTCCGAGATACTTACTAGTTTGACAGAACTGTAGTGGGAATAGGCATGTATTGTTTATCCAGCACTAAACATTCTAACATTCTTTTCTCTACAAACCCTTTTTATCTTTTGGACAGAGTTAATTACAATGAAGAAAATCTACCTAGGAACTGTGTGTGTGTGTGTGTGTGTGTGTGTGTGTGTGTGTGTGTGTGTGTAAACATCATGAATACTTGCCTTTAAATTTTCCTCACCTCATTGCATGTGATAGTATAATTTTAAGTTGATCTCTGCTTGGGAATTATTTAGTCCATTTATTTATATAAGGAATTAAGCTCACTTTTCTGCCAACCATATTTGGTTAAAAACTAATCAAGGTGAAGCATGAATTTAAAAACCCAGCTTCAATGGTCAACACTATTGGCTCCATCTAGTAGCTGACGATTCTTCAATATGTATGTAACTGTCAGAATTTAGTACAATACACCAACGTAAATTAGAGCCAGGACACTTGGAATATTTTTTTCTCTCAGTTTACTGCCTGCTTTATTATCAGCATCACCTCAGCTGTTTTGTCTCAGCTGTTTTACACCAGCTCTGGCAGCAGCCTAAGCATGGGCAGTTCTTTATTTATTTCTTAGGTTTGTAACAGTACCTGTCAGAGCATCGTTATCACCAGCAGCGTATTACTGAAAGGCAAAACAACGTGGTCTTTCTGTAAACCTGGCTGAGGATGATGTGAAAGAGGCTTCAAATTCTTTTTGCTCCACCTCTTGTCTCTGTGTAGGTCGACTGTGTCTTAAACTCTGACTCGCTCTTGGTCTATTCCTAGCTTTAGAATGTTCCTGTGAGACTCTGCAGTCATGTTCTCTCTTCTCTCCTTCTCTCTTTGTTTGTTTGTTTGCTTGATTGGCTGTGTTTTTGTTTGTTTTGTTTTGATAGGGTTTCTCTCAGTAGTTCTTTCCCTGGAACTCACTAGGTAGACCAGACGGTCATATTCTTAGCAATGCCGATGGTTAATTGGTTAGGGAAATGGAAGGAAAGGGGCTAATGATTAAGTCAGGCTTACTGGGTGGTGTTAACGGTTCTCAAGGCAATTATCTAAGATGAAAGTAAGAATGAACCCTTAAGTTGAAGGGGGACAAGTGTTGTCATTAGCCTTGTCTATGTCATCCAGCTCATTTGCCATATGGAAGGTGTAAAATGTGTACTAAGGGGTAGTTCTTCATTTTTTCAGTATTTTTCATTTGGATCAAAATAAGCTTCAGTGTTCATAAATACCTGCTCAAAATTGGTATTTTAATTTCAGGGTTTTTTTTTTTTATATGTAAGTTGCCTTAAATTTTATTCTCATGGGATGTACTCATTTGTTATATTTAGTTAATTTAGTTGAACTTGATAATATTTTTATTTAGTGTTTGTACCCTTGATCTGAAAAAGTAGTTAGAAAAAAATTTTTTCTGAACTTTTGGAAATTGCTTAAACTTTGAATCTTTTTCTTAGTGATTCTATGCCAAGTAGAGGATAAGTTTAATTTTTCCTTATGTGTTTTAAATATAACTCATAATCAAAGCTGAGAGAGAAAAGCAGATATAAATCAGTGTGGATGGTGTGTGGTGGTTGTGGGGTGGGGATGGGAACTGAGAAAATACCAGTTACTTAAAGCACACTTTGCCTGAATTTTACTTTGTTATATTGTTTACCATAAATGTTAAAAAAAACTCTCATAAGCCTGTCCCGAGACAAAGCATATTTAATGTCCCAATATTTCTTCTTATAAAATAATTTTCTGCCTTCTTGTATCTAATAAGATTGGCTGGTTCAATTTTCTTCTATCAGATAATATGGTTATTTTTTATATTACCACATCAGCATTATATTGAAAGTGTTTTTTAATAGTTGATTGTATTTTGTCAAACAGCTACTAGTATAGATGCAGATTTGCTATTCAATTGTTGAAAGTGCAGTTTGTTTTACATGTAAACCTGTTTTTAACAGTATATGATTCGTTTGGATTAGAAGCAATCGCTGTTAGCTGTTTGGAAATGGAATCTGCATTCAGATAGATGTTGTGCCGCTGATTGGATAGGGTTGGTTAGGACGCTCCTGTGAGACAGCCTGTTGCGGAGGCTTCCATCAGCCTTCCCGCTTGTTCAGTAGGAAACGAGTTATCCTTTACTCCAAGAGAATGTTTGGACCCCAGCAGGCGTAAGATGCTAAAGCATTTCACTTGAACATGCGCTGCAAGTGGAGTGACTGACTGTAAAATAGCATTTCATGAACTTGTGAATGTGTGATGGGTGCCTTTGTTATTTTGAGATGAGTTTTTAATTTTTTACTCTATTCTTTCAAGGTCACATCTACTGGGAAGAGATGGAGGGGAGGGGCTTGTGTTTCACATTCTCCTTTGTCTCCATATGCTATTTAGAAAAATTTGTATTATACAGAAACCTCCCATACCTGTTTAAAACACCTTAAGATTATCTTGTATTTTTTAATTTAAAAATGAGGAAATTAAGTTTTACTTTAAAATCTTCTCAACATGTTACAGCTAAAAATGCAAAAAAAAAAAAAACCATAAACAAAAAACTTCTCCTTCCAAATCATGTGTACCATTTCCTTACCTGAGCATGTTGTCGTCACCTAGAAGCACATTTGAGAATCACTGTAGATGTAACACTCGCTTTTGTAAGGGAATGCACTAAATATTTTTATTGTTAATATGATTTAATTTTTTAAAACCCGAAATATTAATATATATATATATAACCTATTGAAAACTGGGGGTTGAATCTGTAATGCTTGCTTTTAGGTTCTTGTGTTAACATTCTTAAAGGGATAGTAGTTTTATTCTATTTTCACTGAACAAACAATATATACATTTCATTCTTAAAAAAAAACCAGCTTTACATAGCTCCCATAGGAATAGCATTTTTTTAAAGTGGGGAATGGCTGGAAACAGAGCCTCTAGCAGCCAAGGTGAACAGCAACACCAGTGCATGATGCTCCTGCCTCCCCACTCCCCGTGCTGGGATTACCATAGGTATTTTAATTGAATATAATTTAACTCTCATTGTAGCATAAAGAGAAAACAGTTGTGTGTGGTCTGTGCCCCCCCTCCCCAACGGAAACAATGAGGGATACAGACAATGCTGTAAACAATATTCTCTGATGCTACCAAGTCTGGCCACCAAGAAATATTTGAAGAAGATAAGAGGTTTTAAGTCTTTGTGTTGTATTTCAACAGATCATGAGCAGAATTGTTTCCAAGACATTCACTGAATCCTCCACTGTGATTTATAACCCATACTGGGATTATGGATTATGCCTCTACACTATGATGCTTTATTGGCGGTTATCTCTAGAGGCCAGTTTTATGTGCAAACTTATCTGTGGCTTTGGAACAAAATCCTCACACACCTAAACTTTAGTTCTAAAGATCCTTTATCTTCTGTCAGGGGTCATCTCAAGATGTAGCTTCTAGTCCCAGTCTAGACACACGTTGAGACACTACCTGTCTCAAGAAGTGGATTCCGATCCTGATCTGCCCATTCATCATGTATCTAGTTGACCTAAGACACTATTGTTCATGGCCTTCTTTTTGTTCTTCCCAAACTGAGGAGCCTTTAAGTAAACTAAGTCTCAAATATGTCTTCTGTTTAATATTCTGAAGCCTTATCCAGTAGCACTATCCTTTCAAATCTAAGATAAGAGGGGAACGCTTTTAGTTCCGGACCTGGGTGGTTTATTCACTGCGTGATCCCCACCCCAGCACCACGTGTAACAATCAGGTATGAACACAGTATGACAAGGTAGCTTTCCTTTGGCTTAAGCTGAATGTCTACCTAAGGACTGTGCAAAGCAGCAGCTGTATTCACCAGAAAACGGCTTTGAGTTGCTTCTAAGTAGCACCCATGTATGTTGGAAACCCACTTCTACAGAACTTACCTTTTTTGCTGGCTTTTCTGACTGGGTAGAAGTGGTTAGTGTGTTCCATTTACTGCCTTTAAGGCATCCTAAACACTTGAAAAAGTAGCATCAGCCAGGACAACAGTGTTGCAGACTTAAGTCCACTTGTGTGTGAAAACAAACAGCTGCTGTTTAAGGTCCTTGGTTTTCAGTGTCATCTTATCTTGATTCATTTAATATTAATGTGAAGACTGAAGCCCAAGTGTCAGGAATAGGGGGAAAAAGATATATTTTAAGAATTATGGGTGACCAAAGCTATATAGAGGGAAATAGGAGACCTAGGTCCTCTATATTGCATTTCATATGGCTGGAAAGCCTGAAGATTGATTAGCATTCTAGGATTAGAATCTGGAACTTTAGTTACCCAGAGGCTCCTTGATTTTTTTTTTTAAGACCAGTACTCTGCATTTTCTCCTTGCTATGTGTAGATGGTGTCTTGAAATCAGAACTTCTAAATGAATGAAAAGGTTTTCTTGTTCAACTTGTAGATTTTTAATTTAAAAGAATTATTACCTCATTTTTCACTCCACAAAGTGCTTTTGCTTAAGTGTCTGGGCTGTTGGACTCTGACCCCCTTCACCCAAATGTCTTTGACTATGCAGAGTGCCCTGCTGAAGGGAGTGTGAGTGTTGGGCAGGGCTTTTGTTCCCCAGCAGCAGGATGAACAGGTGTCCCTTCACTCAGTACACTTGAGCAAAACACTCAGTATTTAATTCCTTACAGAAAGGAAAGGAAAGTTCTGCAGCAGGGTGCTAAAACTGCAAATGGCCATCATTTGATCTCAGTAGTTCATGATTGATTGGCATGTTTTAGCTCCAATCGGGAGAAACTGTAGTCATTTTAATCTTAAAATTTTCCCTTAGAAAATTCAGGGACACTGAACTGCCCCTGCCACCCCCCATTTATTCTCTTGGAGTAAACTTTCAGTCTCGTGGTGACCATTTTTTTTCATCTAGATTTCATCTTGAAAAAGCTTAGCTGCTGTTTCACTGAAATTGTGAAATGAAATCATGATTATGGCTTTTCCCAATTATTAGATAGTTCTCCATTTCTCCATGCTGCTGCCTTTCACAGAATATAGTTTAAGATAGAGCAAACTCCTCGCAGTTCTGGCCTCGCTGTTGGGTTTATTTTAATGGCAGTATGATGATCATAATTGCACATTCTCGTCCTCACACATAACTTGGTGCTTTATAACCGTAAAGAGAAAGTGGGCCCTGGACTCAGTATACTTTTAGCTTGGATTGTAAAACTCTTTAAATGTGCATGTATGTTCATTTTATAAGATTTAAATATACATTATTATCCATTACATCTCAGGCTCTGTGCAAGCGGTCTGACAGTATCTTTGCCAAGCAGCTTGGTTCAATAGACGGTATTAATAAGATCAAGGTAGAATCTCATCTCTCTGTGGGCCCTCTGGTGTTTACAGAGGGGGAACCAGTGTCTTTCATATCACATCCTGCTTCTGAACCCTAAGTAAGAAACTCATGCGTGCACCATTGCTCTGATACATAAGTGCTAACCAAGAAACTGTAAAAGCAAATACCAAAAGCATTTCACACCATCGCGCCCACAAATGGTTCCAAGCTTGTTTGATTATGAGGTTGTTGAAAGAACATGGTTTTTGAATTTTAACATTTTTCACTATCATGAAATGTTTCTTTTATATGTTAGGTCATATTCATGATTTTTTATTTCTGCAACTATGTTCTAATGAATTGTGTGCATGCCAACTTACCCAAGGAAAAAGATGCAGTTTGCTCTGGACTGTTAATCTGTTTTGGCTCATTTGCAATCATGGTGCAATATAGCATGATATCCAGTTGTTTTCAGTCCACAGTTTTATTTTTGTCATAATAAATACTTTTCCAATATGAAGTGTAGCCTGTGTTTTCTTTTGATGATAGTTTAGCAATCTCTTTGGTTCTAATGCCAGAAACCCAGGTAAGCTAACAGGAATTTTATCATGATGGTGCCTTGGTAGAGGGCATAGAACCCAAGGGGAATACAACTCCACTCCAGAGCACTCAGCAATGACTGGAAGATGGTGAAGAGCCAAGTGGTTACCTTCCTGCTGCACATCTTTCTTAAACTTTCACTGATCCTGACTCCTCTTTTCCTGACCACACCGCAGGTATGATACCCGTGTCTAATAGTTCTTATATTTCTTTGTACAGGGGAAAAGTTAGGTCATTGTTGGATTCTTAGAAACAATTCCTTGTTTCCTAGAGAAATTCACTAGCCTGGATGTAGCCATTGGCCTCTTTGATACAAACAGCTGGCTAAGTAGAAGGTGCATTTAGACCAGGGGAACCTGGGTGGTAGGAGAGC